TTTGATGACTGAAAGTTTAAGGCACAAAGGAAGGAGTATGTGTTGGTAGCATGAGCAATTGTATGCACGTGGCGCCAGGTACTGGAGGAGAAAATTCTATGAATCCTGAGTTTGGTTTTGGATATCTGGGTTTTTTGACTTTTTTTTTTCTTATTGGCGTATAGTTGATTAACAATGTGGTGTTAGTTTCAAGTGTACAGCAAAGTGATTCAGTTATACACCTGCATATATTCATTCTTTTTCAGATTCTCTTCTCAAATAGATTTTCATGGAATATTGAGTAGAGTTCTCTGTCCTATACAGTTGGTCCTTGTTGGTTACCTATTTTATATATAGTAATGTGTGTATGCGCATCCCAAGCTCCTGATTTATCCCCCCACAAACTTTCCCCTTTGGTAACCATAAGTTTATTTTTTACATCTGTGAGTATGTTTTCTAAATAAGTTCATTTGTATCATTTTGTAAAAAATTAGATTCCACATATGAGTAATACATATTTGTCTTTCTCTGACTTACTTCACTTAGTATGCCAATCTCTAGGTCCATCCATGTTGCTGCAAATGGCATCATTTCGTTTTTATGGCAGAGTAGTATTCCACTGGGCATGTGTTTTGATGCCTCAGAGACCCCAAAGGAAGATCTCTTATTGGCAGTTGAATATAGGTATTTAGGGTGCAGGACACAGGAAAAATTGGGGCTAGACATAAAGGGAGGTATTTGTAGTCATGGAAGCAGGGAACCATGCGTGCAGGTGATCCCAGGATACATTCAAACCAGAAGCATGTTAGAAATCAGCTGGGAGCACACACAACTCATGCAAGACTGCCACTAATTCTAGAAAGAAGTGTCAACTTTTAAAACAACACACAGCTTAAAAGTTGTGAATCAAGTTTATTCAGTGTCTACAGCTGGGGAAAGAGCCTCTCAGCTCTGAGAAACTGTTCTGAAGAAATTAGGGGTGAGGTCACGATATATGTGATTTTAACACAAGGGTATGCAGCACACCCCTTCTTAGAAGGTAGTGTTATTCAAAAGGAACAGATATCTTAATGTTTTTAGTGTTTTTCTAAGTGTGGTAAGATATAAGAATTTGGATTCATAGAATTTTCTCCTAAAAATATCTTAACTATCTGAAGGTTTGTTCTGCCAGTTTTCCCACAGCAGAGTGCCCAATTCCTGATCTCCGCCCTGAATTCCTTTCAGAGCTTGTTCAAAGTCAGTGACTACCCTGGCTAAACACTCAAGATTTGTAGCACTAGACAGGCAGCAACACTCTTTAGCTGGCAGGAGACACCATACCTAGGGAAACTGAGGTCAAAGTATGCCTTTTGACAACTCAAACAGGCAGGGCGAGTCCGTAACTCCGCGTTGGCAAAACGGGGTTAGGGCCACCAGGGAGGTGGCGTTGGGGTCCTTCTCCCGTCCCCGGGGCAGTGGGCGCCTAGTCGTGCGAGATCCAGGGTGGGAGGTCACGGACAGTCACACCCGCCTAACGCTCTCGCTGGTGCCTGGGCACCATGAACCTCGGCAAACACTCTCACCCGGCCGCCCAGCCCCTGCAGCGGTCTCCTCTCCCGGAGTAGTGCGGGCTGGTCGGGAGCCAGGCGGAGCGCCCACTGAGTCCGCAGCTCCCCGCACTTTGGCTGCTCTGCTGCTGCTGCTAAGTCGCTTCAGTCGTGTCCGACTCTGCGCGACCTCAGAGACGGCAGCCCACCAGGCTCCCCCGTCCCTAGGATTCTCCAGGAAAGAACACTGGAGTGGCTGCTCTGCTGCTAAGTCACTTCAGTCGTGTCCGACTCTGTGCGACCCCACAGACGGCAGGCCATCAGGCTCCCCAGTCGCTGGATTCTCCAGGCAAGAACACTGGAGTGGGTTGTCATTTCCTTCTCCAGCACATGAAAGCGAAAGTGAAGTCGCTCAGTCGTGTCCGACTCTTAGCGACCCCATGGACTGCAGCCTACCAGGCTCCTCCGTCCATGGGATTCTCCAGGCAAGAGTACTGGAGCGGGGTGCCATTCATTGCCTTCTCAGAGTGGCTGCTCTAGTAGCGCGATTGCACCGCCCAAAGAGAGCGCCGGAAGTAAGCACACGATTTCCGGTTCCCAGCCTGTGGGCCGCTCTAGCGCGTCTCGCCTCGTTGGTATTTCCACCGGCCTGCACGGCTCGGGTCAAAGGCCGCAAGATTGTTCCGAGCCCGCGCAAACCCATGTGCAAGCCCCACTTCGCGAGTCTCGCCTCTAATCCTTGCTCTAGGTGGAGGCCCACGCAGGTCTTCGCTGGCCTGCGGGGCCGGAGGTGCCGTCGCCGTGGAGCAGAAACTGCAAAGGAAGTTGACTTCTAATGCAGTATCCTGGAGTAGCTCTGGAATTTTCTTCTGACTTCCGTTTTATCTCCACCATTAAGTGGCCCGAAGTCATTCGTTAACCCCCTGCAAACCACAATCCCGCCAGTCTTCAAAATTCATCTCATTGCCATCTAAAACTACGGAAGTGTAAAGAAAAATTTTTTAAATTAAAGTTCACCTCATTGCTAACGTTCATTAAAAAAAACCATTTATTAGATGTCAAATTGGCACATCAGATAGTCACTGCCCAGTGAGAGCCTGCACTGATGAGAACACACCAAAAACTGTAAAAGTCAAAATATTAAACAGCACAAGTGCCTCCAACAAACATGCTTCTAAGGGGTCCAAATGAACTAGAGATTGCAGCATATTCTCAGATTAATATAAATATATATGTATGTCATTTCCCCACCCTCCTCAGACTAACACAAGGAAAGATGTAAAAAATAAGAACACCTGCAGTCAGATGGGCCCTGAAAGGATGGATATCAAATATCAAGTCATCTTCATATCAGATCAACAGCTTTCTCAACCTGCAAAACTGAAACAATGGATATACACACTTCTAATGAAGATCATTTAGTTATTTTTTTAAACAGATGGTCCAAGCATCAACACTTTCCAACTGAAATCCTATAGACATAACAAGTTTAATGAACAATTTCAAAAACCCGCTTAGCACACATATATAGTAAATTGGTAATTACTTTGAGCAAAATCTGCAGTATCATTACACAACATGTTGTAGTCATCAGAACAATGCTATTTAATTATACAGAACTGCAAGAGTTAGACTCAGAATGTCATTTGTGGTGAAACTTCACTTGTTTTTAGTTTTAACTCCCTGCATTACTGCGTTAATAATTTTCTGTTAAATGGGGAGATGTGAATAGACTATTACCTACTGCAGTAAAACTGTAAACAAAATTATTTTTTAGTTCAACCAACTGCTTCAAGAATAACAAATTCCACAGTTTCTTTAATTACAAAACATCAAATGTTGACATAACTGAATGTTATTGGAATAATGCTGTTTTCATCAGTGATGACTGTTACAGACCTGATATTCTAGCAATCACATTAAGGACTTGTTTGACACACATTTCCATCACTACATCAATAACAAAACCCATGACATTTGTTCAATGGTTGATTTTCTCAGTACAAAGTTTTCACTCTGTAGGTGTCAACAACCATACTGCAAAATGTTGTGAACCAATTGTTCCTAGCAATAAACTTCTGCACTTAGTTTTTCATCCTTAACTTTCATCCAAATATTCATTAAAACTAACATGGTAGGAAAAAAAAAAACACTAACATGGTAGGCTAATTATATCTCTGAGTTAATGACCATTTGTGGAATCTGTCAGTTAACACTGTAAACAGAAAGGTAAAAAAGCCATCATCATAAAACCAGCATGGGTCTCACTGATGGACACTCACCGCCTCCTTCAACTCCTTGGGCTCAGAGCCTCTGGTTCTTTAACAACCATTCCATTTAACAATATTTTGCTCCAGTATTTATATGTAACAGCAGTATCCAGAGACCTGTATTTTCAGGTATTTTAATTAAACAATTTTTATATGTATCTTTAGATATGAGGAAGAAAACATTTTTAAAAACCAAAACTCAACTAAAACCTTAAAGGCTGTACTCTGTAGTGTGTGATCTCTGATTATAGGGACGGGGTTTGAACCTGAAGTCCTGGGGAGTCTCTCTGTTGCTTTGTAACCATACATGTCAGTCAGGCTTGGGATGAAGTGCTAAGGGAGGGAAGCGTGTGCACAGGGCAGCCAGCACGATGGGCCTCCTCGCCCGCCTGCCTCAGTCCCCAGCTGCCTGCAGTTTTAACATGTGGCGCAAACGCAACTTACAACACAATGTGGCTGAGAGATGCAAGGTTAAATGCTGGCTTCAGTATTTGCTATTTTTGTGTATGGGCAAGGTACTGCTTTTACCCTCTGTGGGCTCTACTTGCCTTTTATGAAGTGAGGATAGTCCTTTTCTGTCAGATTTATTCTTAAGAGTAAATTAAATGATAAACATAAAGTATTGAGTGTGCAGACTAAACAAGAGTTAGAAATTGTGTATCATTCTCTGGTTCATACAAATAGAATCTGGATAGTAACTGAGTTAGACTTCTGCCCTCCTTCAGGGGCTGTGACATTGACTATGCTTCCTTGGTTATAAAACAGAAACCGTGGTGTCTAAATCAAGGCTGTGGTGAAAATTAAATGGTATATTACATGGAATGTGTGTACAGTGCTTAGTACAGTGCCTGGCACATAAAGGGTAACTGTGCCCCAGTTTTCAGTACAGATACTGAGAAACACAAACATTAATGAAAACTTGCTATATTTACACAGTGTTTTGTGAATGGGTTCACTGATGGAGAGTAAGATGTGTTTTCAACCTGAAATTTCTCCCACACCTGGTACATTTTAAAGGTTTCTCTGTGTGACTCTTCTGGTGGCATGCAAGCTCTCAGTCCAAAATAAAACTTTCTGTGCATGTTTTGGGTTTATGGGGCTTTTCCCCACTGAGTGCTCTGATGAGAGAGAAACTCAGAGGTAGAAAGAAAGGTCTTCGAACACTCAGGACACTTTAGGTTTGAATTTTGAGAAGGAAAGCAAAATTTCCCAATTGCTGTAGTGTTCAGACTGTCCTTGTGGCCTCTCCCGGGCAGGGGTACGAGGGCTGCCCAAAGCATTTCCTGCCGGGACTGCACGGCTGCTGGGTGGCTGACCCGTGCTTTTCCTCAGGCAAAGCCAGATTTGTTTTCTGACCGACATATTTATCGCTGGCTTTTGTGGCAGTGTGGGTTTTCTGATGCTGTGACAGTCCCTGGAGCCTCGTGAACCCCCTTCCACATATGCCACACCTGTGGATTTTCTCCTTCAGGTGAGCCTTCCTGTGCTGAGACAGGTGCAAGGGCTGGCAGAAGCTGCCGCTGCACTGTGCACATTTATATGGCTTCTCGCCAGTGTGGATTATCTTGTGAGCTCTCAGGTTGGATCTGTGATTGAAAATCTTCCCGCAGTCATCACATTTACACTTTTTCTTTCCTGCATGTGCTTTCTGATGCAAAACGAGGTATGAACTATGACTGAAGCTTTGATCACATTCAGGACACTTGTGTGACTTTTTGGTTCCTTCTTTGGGAAATGGAAGAATTTCAGGAAGTGCTCTGGTTCCTAAACTTTGAGCTAGTTCTATCAACGGGGTATGGTTTTCAATGGTAACTAAAAGGCTTCTGAACCTTTTCGTGCAAGCAGGAGTTCGACCTGATGTTTTCCTTTCAAAGTTTCCAGCTCCACGCTCAGAGGACTTTTCTGGGTAATCGATGAGGGGCACAGCAAGGGAACATTTTTCTAGGGCAAGCTCTTCAAGTCCCATAGATTCTAGATGTAGCTGCTGATTAATCTCAATCTTATCATCTTCTGCTGATAAAAACAAAACAAAATATAAACACCCTCAAGTACTACTGGGGGAAGAACAAACTATTGATAGTTACACAGAGGACCAGGAAGTTGTAGCATGGCTGACAAAACTCAGGCCTGCCAGAAAGAAAAAATCATTCCTTTTTAGTGTTCTCCCAAATATTCATTATTTATCAAGCCAATATGTCAATCCAAAAGGGATTTTCTTTTCCTTCCAAAGCAACAGCCCTACGATTGCCCCAGCTCGCTGCCTTGAAAGGGTTTATGGGCTGCAGGGCAGTGTGTGGAAAGCCAGTTCTCAGTGGTTTTGCTGATTCAAGAAGACCAAATTCAGGAAAGTCAACGCAGCTAGAATGTGATGGAAAAATACCAGAGAAGCGGACTGATGTCCAGGCAGTGAGCTCTGGGCATCTAGATGGGTCTCCTTAAGACTCTGGCTGCATATTAATCTCTACATACATGTGAGGAAACAACCCCAGGCCCAGGAAAGAACCACCAAAAAGGAATAGAAAGAGCAATCTCCAGAGTTCACAAAACACTTCAGTAGTTCATGTTCCAAAGTGGAGACAGTCCCTGCCACACAAAACATCAGGCAGTATCCATATTGCCTTTGCAGGAGGCCAAATCAGCCCTAGATTAAAGATTGCTCTGAACACACCCTAACAGAACAAAAAGCAAGCCTTGAAAGGATCATATTGATTCCAAGTAACTTAAATTAGCACACCACACCAAAGTCTGAAAAGTATTTCCAAAAAAACAACAAAAACCAGCATCCAACAACATAAAACTCACAATTTCCAACATCCAATCAAAAATTACTGGGCATGGAAAGAAGCAGAAAAATATGACCCATAACTAGAAGCAAAATCAATCAACAAAAGCAGACCCAGAGATGACAGATGACAAAACTAGTAGAAAGAACATTTAAAGAGCTATTATAAATGTGCTTCACATGTTCAAGAAGTTAGAGGAAAACAACATAATGAAGAAAGAAGTAGAAAATATAAAATGTGAGTTATGGGAAAGTTCAAATAGTCAACCCTGCTGCTGCTGCTGCTAAATTGGGTCAATAGTGTCCGACTCTGTGCAACCCCATAGACGGCAGCCCACCAGGTTCCCCCATCCCTGGGATTCTCCAGGCAAGAACACTGGAGTGGGTTGCCATTTCCTTCTCCAATGCATGAAAGTGAAAAGTGAAAGTGAAGTCGCTCAGTCGTGTCCGACTCTTCCGGACCCCAGAGACAGCAGCCCATCAGGCTCCCCTGTCCCTGGGATTTTCCAGGCAAGAGTACTGGAGTGGGGTGCCATTGCCTTCTCTGAGTCAGCCCTAGTCAAGGATAAAATCTACTCAGCCATGGGAACATTTCTACATATAGCTCCTCTTAGTGAGAAAGGCACACCATTTCTGTAAGATTAAAGCAATTTCCAACTTTAGCAAATAATAGTAACCCATACTAATGGAATTTCACAAGTAAAATTATGAATTGACCATAACAAATATTTGGAATGATTACTAGGTACTGCCATGTCTTATGCAAAACCATAGTCACTGTAATAGAATTTTTGCCTTTTTTGGCCACACCCTTCGGCTTGCCAGATTTTAGTTTTCCACCTGGGTAGTGCTAATCACTGGACCACCAGGGAATTACCGATTTTTGCCTAAGACTCATCTCACCCTTTGAAAATCACACTCTCATTCAAGTTATTGTCATTTCCACATAAATCACTCAAGGAGAGGCCCATTCTCCCATACCAACACGTGGATGAGATATGCAATCCTAATCCTAGAAAGTTCCAAACGCAGGAAAAACAAGTGTGTTACCAATCAAGGCCTTGTCCTCAAAACATTCCTGTGTCGCTTCTCTGCTGAGGGACCTCTGCGCAGGGTGCAGACTCACACACTCCTCTTGAGAAAAATAGATAGCCAGCTCCTCAAACAACACAGGTCCCTGAAACAACAGGACAGCCCATCTCAGGCCAAGCCAAAAAGCTACTACCTTACTCTGTCTGGGAATGCTGAGAAAAGCTAGAAACATCAGAGGCAAGAGCTTGTTGGAAAAGGTATCTGAGCCCTGGGGTGGGGTTTTGAGTGGGTTCTGAGTGCTGGAGGTAGGATTTAGGAAGGAGGGAGTAAAAATATTTGTAATTTTGGAAGCGGTAGTATAATGACCCAAATGGTAAACTCTGAGTTCTGGAAGAGTCTGTTAGAAGAGAATAGAGGGAACAACTCTATTCTACTTAACAAAGGAGTTAAGTAGGGTTGCTCTAAGGCAGCGCTACCCATTCTTTTTGGCCCCAGGGACTGGTTTCGTGGGAGACAGCTTTTCCACGGCCAGAGGTGGGGTGATGGGGAGGTGGTGGATTTCGGGATAATTCAAGCACGTTACATTTATTGTGCACCCTACATCTATTATTACATCAGCTCCACCTCAGATCATCCGGCATTAGACATTAGATTCTGGAAGCTGGGGACCCTTGCCCTAAGAGAAAGGAGATGAGTGAGCAGCCCAGGAAGAATCACAAAGCGAACACAGGTCTAGGATTCTCCCAATATCTTTCCCTTTGCTGGTCTCTCTCCTTCCTCCTGACACACATTGTTAAGCGCAGTCATATCCAGACGTATTTCTCCTTCGCTAAGTTCACCAGTTCTATAAATCTATAGATTTCTGGTGTGATTAAGAATCACCTGAGGTTTCTGTTCAATCAACAGGTGTGGAATGAATCTTAGAAAATTGTTTAAGTTTGAGCAGCACTCCAGAAATACTCTGAGGTACTCTTAGGTAGTCTCCTATGGGCCCTGTTCCTAGTTGGGAGGTTCTAAAAGACCGATCCTGATTAGCCATTTCTTCTCTCTGCCTGGTAGGAACAAAGACAGCTTGGTGAAAGGGTTCGAGGGGATCAGGAGCCCTCGCATCACGACCGGCATGCCTAACCCTCTTGTACAAGAGGCCAGGAGGAGGCCAGAAAGGAGGGACCGGACCTTGGACCAACAGAAGGGACCTGGTCTCACCTGGGCCTCGGTTGTAGGGAGTGTGGATGCCATCTTGGGAGTGGGGTGGGGTGGTAGTAGTGCTTTCTTCCAGTCGCCACAGGGACCTCGGGGCAGATAAGGAAGGGGAGAGAACAGTCCTGGGAGGGGCCAATTCGGCTGTCGAGCTCCTCCACGCATCCCCTCACTTCCCAGAACACTTTAAGACCTGAGGCGAAAAAAAAAAGTAAGACCTGAGGCGATGACTCCTCCCGGGCGCAGCCTCCGAAAGGCAGACTCCCGGGCTGGTCGGGCCCCACCTAGGGCTCCGAGACTAAAAATCTCAGGAAGCCTGCCAATACCCAGGCAAAAGCAACAAAAAGCGACGCGCAGCTGAGACTAGAGACCAGGAGCCTAGCCACAACTAAACTCCCACGCTCCCTGACGCTAGACCTGCCCGGAAAGCCGCGTGACGCTGTCCACCCTAGTGCTTTTCCGCAGCTCTGCCCTGTGATTGGCCAGCGTGATCTCAGAGGGGGCAGTTCTTTTTGAATATTCACCAATCGGGAGCCTCAAGAGAAGAGCTGCGGCTCACCGGGCATTCTGGGAGATATAGTTTTCCCTCGGTTTTCCTAAGCATTTCCGGTTCCGCTACCTGGGTCTCCTCTGTGCGCTCCCTACCCGCCGACCTGAGGAAGTGGAACGTTAGAGTGACCGCGGAGGGAGGGGCGTAATCTTTCAGGGAAGGAGAGCAAGTAGATGAGGAGAATCCGGTACCCGAAGAGTATCGGTACTGAAATGTGGGTTCAGCCGGCATTGTCCCATGGGTCGTAAACTTCGGTCGAGCCGGGGTGAGGTCTCTGAGTGGCCAGGAGCACGGGTTCTAGTCTTGACCTGTGTCTTGGGTGGACTGCGAGGGGGTGGAATGTAAATGGGGTGTCATCTGCGTGGGCAGAGTTCAGGTCGGCATAGGCGGGATTGCTGATATGTCCAAAGTATTCTAGGGGCATTGTGCCCGGGGAGTGCAGCCCAACCGACCCATATCGAGCTCAGAGCCACAACGGGCCTCAAGCGGCAGTAGAGCCATCCGGTTGCTTCGAGGGTCGTTGTAGGCCACCTAATACTTCACAATCGATCTGCTTCATTACATATTTCCTCTTTAATGGCACTGGATGCCGTGGTGTAGGGGTTTGGTATTAGAAAATTGAGCTCCTTCCGCAGGTATGCACTAATTGTTTGTGACCTTTTGGCCTGTATATCAATACAGCTTTGCCTTCCCCAGGTGAAAAAAGCGCAGAATATCTCTCTTCAGAGGGCAGTTTCAAAGAAGTTTTCAGTTTACAAAGGTGTTTGCGAAAACACGGATATTATCTTCATAGAAAATTCTGAGTACGTCTCAATATATTTGCTTGGGAGGATGTACCTATCTCTTCTGTTCACATTCCAGTCTCTAGATCTTAGTCGGGAGGTCACATAACCACACCTAGTTCAAAGGAGGCAAGGAAGCTAGCAGTACCCTGGCAGCCCACACCCAGCTAAAAAGCTCACAAGTTCTATTACAGTGACAAAGAGGGAGGAAGCAGATATTGGAGACAGCTGGCAGTAAGTGCCATGGAGATATGTTGAAAATGGAAAAAGATGAATGGAAATGGATGGGCAGACATGAAGATGTTCATTGAAGAATTACAGTAGAGAAAAATTGGAAATGACCTAATTTCTAAGTAGTTTTCCTCTTTTGCAGGAGGAAACATCGCAGCCAATTAAAATGCTATATAGAAGTTTTTGATAGTATGGGGAAATGTTTCCAATGCAAGTTTAAAAATGTGATACCAAGTTGTGCATAAAATGCTATCATAATTAAAAATGTATTGAGGGACTTCCCTGGTGGTCCAGTGGTTGAGACTCCACACTCCCAAAGCAGGGGCTCTGGGTTAAATGAAATTTTTTTTTTTTAAAGACTGTTTCCCTTCCTTTTATAACCCGCTTACCTCGTTTCTGGCTATCGATCTAGTTTCCTAGGAGCACTAAGAGAAGAGGTGTCTGGAGCAGGAGTAAGAGCATTCCAGTGACTCTTACCTATCAAAAAGTAAGCTAGAATTTGGTTTAAATCTCACTCTTCTGTGAGTCTGATGGGTAAGCCCAGTCTCAGGGTACACTGACAGAAAAATGGAGAATCAGATCCTCCCAATATACTGTCGTGACCCTGTTAGTCCAGGCTAAGTGACTCTGTCTCAGTTTTAATTGCAGAAGTCAGTATCATCCTTTGTCATCCAAGTATACACTTGCATCATTTTTCAGCCAAAGGAATTTTTTTGGGGAAGCAACTTACTTGATTCCTGGTTGTACTGTCTTTGATCCATGCAGATTTTCCCTCTTCACTTATTTTACAATACAAATGTGATAAAGTCTTTTCTTCTTTACACTTACTTGTATCCAGAGAGTTGTGGGGGCTTCTTTGTTGGTTTTTTGTGGTGGTGGTGGTAGTTGTTTTTTGACCATGCCACCCAGCTTGTGGAATCCTAGTTCCCAGACCAAGGACTGAACCCAGAGAAATCGCCAAGTTCCAGTCACTAGGCCACCAGAAATTCCCTAGAGCGATTGTTTGCCCATGTAGATCTGTTTTATGGATTTTTCTCTCTTCATTGTGGTTTATTACAGAATATTGAATATATTTCCCAGTGGTATACAGTAGGACCTTGTTGTTTATCTATTTTATATAGTTTGTATTTGCTAATCCCAGACTCTTAATTTATTTCTCCACCACTCCCTTTCTCCTTTGGTAATATATGCCCAAGACTAGGATTGCTGGATCATATGACAACTCTATTTTTAGTGTTCTAAGGAGCCTCCATATTGTTCTGCATAGTGGCTGCGTAATTTACATTCCTACCAATATCCGTAGGAGGTTCTGCTCTTCTACATACCCTCTCCAACATGTGTTATTTGACTGCTTGAGGTGAACAGCCCGCTTACTTGAGAAGACCCTGATGCTTGGAAAGATCGAAGGTAAAAGGAGAAGGGGCAGCAGAGGATGATGTGGTTAGATAGCATCACTGATTCAGTGGACATGAATCTGAGCAAATTCCAGAGTGAAGGACAGGGAAGCCTGGCGTGCTGCAGTCCAAAGAGTTGGACACGACTTAGCGACTGAACAATGACAATTTACAAGACTTAAAATTGTATTGAAGCTTAGTTGATTTACAGTGTTGTGTTAATTTCAGGTATACATCACAGTGATTGAGTTATACATATATTGATTCTTTTTCAGGTTCTTTACCCATATAGGTTATTACAAAATACTGAGTAGAATTCCCTATGCTATACAGTAGGTCCTTGTTGGTCTGTCGATGGGCATTTAGGTTGCGTCCATGTCTTGGCTATTGTAAACAGTGCTTCAGTGAACATTGAGCTGCATGTATCTTTTCTTTTTTAATTATTATTAGAAGTATGGTTACTTTACAATGTTGTGTTAGTTTCTACTGCACAGCAAAGTGAATCAGCTATACATATATACATATACCCCCTCTTTTTTGGATTTCTTTCCCATTAGGTCACCCACAGAGCACTAAGTAGAATTCCCTGAGCTATACAGTGTTCTCATTAGTTATCTATTTTATACACAGTATCAATAGTGTATATATGGCAATCCCAATCTCCCAATTCATCCTACCTCCCATCCCCCTTGGTGTTCAAACATTTATTTTCTACATCTATGCTCTATTTCTGTTTTGCAAATAAGATCATCTGTCAGGGAATGTTTGACGGGAGGATTCCTATGTGCTGTCTCTCATGAGTCCTCAGTCCCTCTCCAAGAGGAACAGCACGCTGCTCCCAGGGACTGAGGTCATTGTGTGAGGCAGGCTTGGGTCTCCTTTAGTAAACATTCTCTTTAGGACAAAACTGCTTAGTCTCCTTCCCCTTTCTTGAGATATGGATTGTCTCCTGACCTTGTGACTAACATTACCCCTTGTTCCCTTGGTAACGGTTGCTGTACGTTTGGTTTTGTAATCTCTATCATTCCTGAAAGAAGTTTCTTGTACCACAGCCTATATATACTCATAGGAAAATCATTAAAGCACCTTTGCTCCATCAGAGCTTAGGTCCCCGGGTCTTTTTTTGTCTCTCTCTCTCTTTTACTTTCTTATCGTCGACTCCGTACCACCAGGTTCCGGTCCATTAAAGGACCCCAACAATCTGTGCCATTTTTCTAGATTTTATATATATACATTAATATATGCTATTTGTTTGTCTCTTTCTGACTTACTTCACTCTGTGTGACAATCTCTAGGTCCAGTCACATCTCTACAGATGACCCAATTTCATTCCTTTTTATGGCTGAATAATATTCCATTATATGTATGGTACACATCTTCTTTATCCATTCCTCTGGTTTTTAAATTTTATTTATTTTTATTTACTTTGGTTGTGCTGGGTCTTCATTGCCTATGCACAGGCTTTCCCTAGTTGCAGTGATCAGGGTCTGCTCTTCGTCACAGAGCATGGGGTTCTCATTGCAGTGACTTCTCGTTGCAGAGCACAGGCTCCAGTTGGCGTGGGCTTCAGTAGTTGCAGCACACAGGCACATGAGTTGCAGCTCGCAGGCTCAGTAGTTGTGGCACATGGGCTTAGTTGCTCCATGGAATGTGGAATCTTCCCGGACCAGGGATCAAACCATGTCCCCTGCATTGGCAGGCCAGTTCTTAACCACTGGACAATTAGGGAAGTTCTATCCATTCCTTTGTTGATGAACATTTAGTTTGCTTTCATGTCCTGGCAATTGTAAATAGTGCTGCAACGAACATTTGGGTGCATGTTATCTTGTCAAAGTACGGTTTTCTCTAGATACATGCCTAGAAGTGCAATTTCTGGCTTTTTATTTGTAGATTTTTTAATAAGGGTCATTCTGACCTGTGTGAGATTGTACCTCGTAGTTTTTATTTGCATTTCTCTAATAATTAGCAGAGCTGAACATCTTTTCATGTGCCTATTGGCCATCTGTATGTCTTCTTTGGAGAAATGTCTGTTTAGATCTTCTCCCCATTTGATTGGGTTGTTTTTGTTGTTGAGTTGTATGAGCTGTTTGTATATTTTAAAAAAAATTATTTAGGCTGTGCTGGGACTTAGTTCTGGCTTGAGTTGTATGAGCTGTTTGTATATTTTAAAAAATATATTTATTTAGGCTGTGCTTGGACTTAGCTGTG